GAGCGAGTTGATCGAGCAAGAATATTAAAATTAACTAGTGACATTAGGTCATGATGGTCAATTTTATTAGATAAGATATTAAATAAAAAGAAAAGATTTAGCCGACATCTTTCATCAAAGAGAGTAGGAAGGTCTAGAGCATTAAGAACAAGGGAATAGTGACGCGGGGACAGAGAATAAGGAGTTTATAACTAGCAAAATAAAGAAATTTACTTAATACATACTCAATTATAACACTAGTAATTTGGGTTTGCTTTGTTTCCCTAGAACTTAACCGAATTTTAAACCACCTGGTTATTGGAACAAAATGAATCAAAATTATTAGATGAAAGTACAAGATTACACATTAATGTAGAATGTAGAAACCATAGTCAATAATATAGGTTTAATTATGATCATGTTCAACCAACTTATATAGTATTTCATATACTAAAGAACATTGCGCAGAAGGTGAGTTAGACTCAAGTGTAAAAAGTTTACTATTAAATAGTACAATTTTATCCTTTAAATTACTTCATTAGCAATAGCATTAAAACTTGATGTCGAAATTATCAAGACAACTTTCAAGTCATTACCTAAAGCTTTATTTTCAAAAATAATATTTTGCTGGTTGTTACATAATTCATTTAAAATATATTTATTTGNATGTAATCGACACTGGTTTTGAGGGTAGAGACCCGTGGGCCGTTTATTAATGAGCAACAACAGGTTATTTTAACAAAAAAATAAAACAAACCGAAAAGATGAACACAATAATAATAATCTTCGCATAATATCGCGGCACTTTCGCTGGCGTCGACGACGCGATGTCCGGTGTGATCCTCGGGCGTCAAAAGGTTAGCAGCGTTGATGGCGACGTTGCGGATCAGTTTGTCAACGTTGTCACTCTAACAACGGGAAGAAGACTNGTGATCTTTGGGCGTCAAAAGGTTAGCAGCGTTGATGGCGACGTTGCGGATCAGTTTGTCAACGTTGTCACTCTAACAACGGGAAGAAGACTCCCGTATCATTTGCGTATCATTAAATATTAAAAGAAAAAAATTTATATTAGTAACAAAACACTCTGTACAATATTTAAATGAGAATTATGTTATATCATTAAGATATTGCGTAAATCATAGTTAATCAATCACTTTGTACAATATGATTATTGACAAAAATAATTGATTTTTCACAATTTTCTGAAATTTGATGCAGAAAAATAATCTTGCGAACTTCGATATGTTCAATATAATATTTATTAATAAGTGTCACATATAATTTGTTTTTTGTTTTTCATTAAATTTATTAATGTTTTAGCTGATGCCT